GTGATGGCTGAAAGCCCCAGTGTACATGAGTTGCATTCAGAGTAAGCTTGGAGCTGTGCAAAGTGCATGCAAACTGGTGCTTTGACCTGATTAAATTTTTTTAAAGCCACAATTTCACCACTGCTTCACATCATATGTTGTCACAGTGATGGGAAGTGAAAATAACAACCCCTTTCTGATTTGCTAACATTTTATGGTGGCTTTGCATTGGCACAAAAAGTAAGTACACATTGGAAAGCTGCTGTTTTCCCTCTCTGAAGACAACTAGATGAATTTCCCAGCTAAATCCTGCTTGGAAAAACAAACCTAAAAAGCACAGTGAGGCCACAGGTTCCTTTACACTGCAGCAAGCGATGAAAAAGAACAAATGTTGCTCCTGAAAAGCTATGGAGAAAAAGTCACTGACTGTAACTCCTTTCCAACATCAATTCATTTTCCCCTTAGTTTAATGTTGAAAACAAAGTTGTAACTCAATCATTGACCATGGAATTCATCCCAGAAGAAACACAAGGACCACCAACAATGTGGTCCAGGTGTGGATTATAAATAACATCAGGAAGAGACATTCTGTGTCCCAGGGGCATTAATCCTGCAGTCAGTGCTCTTCCTTTTATATTTTGATTTTAAGCCTGCCGGTTTTAAGGCTTCTCAGCAAGACTCTCTCTTGCAGAGGATTCCTACCACAACAAGCACAGTAATACACCTAAACTGAATGAAGCCTACGGTGGTACTACACTTGCAACAACACTGGTTTTTGTACCTACCAATTCTTTGGTAAAAATTACCATCTGGCAGCTGCAGAGAAGCTTTGGACTTGTCCCATACCATGGGACAGGATACCATACACTGGAAAAGCATATGTGGGCAGCCAGCATCCTTGAGCTTTCCAAAATCAGGAAACAGTTTGACCCAAAAGAAACTGGGAAAGGTAGAGGGCCTTGAACAGAGGCACAAAACAATAATAATTTATATACAGGCATTTCAAGTTACCATTGATTCATCTTAAGTCAGGAATTATATAAACAAGGGAGCATAAACATACTTTTCTGGCTCTCAGTATTTTTTTTTTTCAGATAAGAAGGTTTTGTTTCCTTTTTCCTGTAAAAATGTAAAGGGAGAAAAATATTACATTTACTAATTTATTTATTTACAACTTTTCATTACAAATAAGGTAGAAATAGGAAATAATAATTCCTTCTGGAACTGGGCAGTCCTGGCTCAGTGACTCAAATATTAATACAGTGCCCTATCTCACCTTTGCTACCCCATGTCTTTCATCCCAATCAATCATCTTGACTGCACAATAATGCAACTGCTTCTGAGTAGAGTCTCTTGGTCATGAGCCAGAATCTGCTTTTCTAAAGCAGTAGCACAAAGGAAGGAAAGATCCCTCTGGTGTGGCATTTACACTGGGTATTGCTTGAAAGTAAGTGGGATTCTGCCAGAGTTCTTCCCTCATAGCAGAGCTGAGTCAGGGTTTAAGCTAAGGAGATATCCCAACACAACTGAAGCCTGTCTTAAGCTTACCTTTTCCCTAAGAGACCCTGCACCATGACAAAGTACCATTTGCTGGCTTGATTGCCTTCTAGTACCCCAAAAATTTACCAAGCCAAGAAGGGTGTTCACTTTCTTGAGCGAGCATGCAGCAGTGAGAAGAGACAGGTTCTGTCACTCAGTACTGGCTCCGGACCTCAGAAGTGCGTGGTCACCTTCAAAGGCCACACACAGTTTCTGTGTGACTTTGGTGGCATCAGTAGTTTGGTTCCCTAGTTTATAGAAGCAAGGGCAACATAAAACTATGAATTCCCATCTTTCAGTGTGAGTTAAAATACTCTGTAAGAACAGTTATCACAAGTTTTTCCAGGTCTAGTTCAGTTTGAAAAGATACAGCTTTGTAAAAAATGCCAAACATTTCCTGACGAAGCTTTCCTTTCTGATTGCAGTTTATGAATTCACATGAGCCTGTAAAAAGGAGCAAAAACAAATGCCCAGATTCATTGAATCTGAGATGTTTTATTAATTGGATTCTCTCATTCCCCTTTCTATTCATGCCAGGTGCAGTGACAGAAAAATATATTCGATTCACAGACTTCTGTCATCCCCCGGATCTTTGGATCAGTTGTTTTTCCCTCTCAGCCTCATTCATTGCTTCTTCTGGGATGAACTTCTAAACACCTGCTGTGGTTGAAACTGTTCTTACATCATCTCCTGAACACAGTGACTTTAATCACATGAAATCATGAGGTTAATGCCATAGTTGAGACTTCAAAGCTGTTTCTGCAGACCTGAGCTGATTTTTTTTTTGAAAATGCTATGGTAGCTGCTGGTTCTTAACCAATAGAAGAATTAGAAGAATTAACAAAGATGTCAGTATTCTGCTTAACATGCAATACAAGAAGATGGGAAAATTTTCTAGCAGAACTGCTGTCTGGGTGGGGGTGGCAGTACCGTAGGATGAGTTCTCCACTTAATCTCAGGTTAGTTTTGAATTTTGTCTTTTTGTATAAAATGAAGTTGAATATCCTTGTTCTGTATTGCCTACTTGAACCAGATGACCTTTAAAAGGTCCATTCCAACTCAAACTATTATATGATTCTGTGATTCTATGAAATTGTTAGTTGTGCTATAAAAGGGATTCTCACAAGAAAAAAGGTGATTACAGGGCTTACTGTATGATGAGAGTAAGAGATCAGGCTGCAAGGGGAGCTATCTTCAGAGAGACACTCTGAACAATCTTTCAGAAGGGGGGAAACACCAAGAAATATCTAAATTACTCTGATGGGTTATGTGCAATAGCAGAAAACTTTCCTCTGACCAGAAAGTCCCCTCTGGTTCTGTGTTTCTGAGTTGTAGAACAATGAAATTCTTAAATTTTAATTCTGCCAGTAGCAACAGCGGTTATCTATTGATTGATAATACTAATTATAGACTGGATTGATTGGATGTTGCTTATGACTGAATAAAACCAGAAGAACAGATGAAATATCTTCTTTGTAAAATAAGACTCACAAAGAAGAAGCACGTTTATCTTTGCTTGGCTTTCAGAGGAGGCTTCACCCAGTTCCTGGTCATTTGGGTAGCACCAATGGAATTCATCCAGAGTAACACATTTTGTGGAGTTCCTGTAAAGGTGAGATCAGAATCAGGTCCACTGTCTCCAGGTAGGTCCAAGGTATGCTAATTGTCAATATTAAGATTCTAAAACTTTCTTGGATAAACTGTAACATAACTTTTCTTTCCTATAAAGCTTCATGAATGAACAGCATGGTTTCTGGGTAGAGATCACATCAGCTCCACAGTTATTAATTTACAGATTTCTCACTAACCTTAGCTCAGCTCTGGGAATGGTGCCAGCACAATTACGGTAACTCTGAATAAAGAGACGTAAAGTTTCTGTATCTACCCTGGAATTGTGCCAGAATTTTCTCTTCTTCAGTGATGGAAAGATGCATTTCTTCAATTGGTTTCAAGTCGTTCAGACTATGTTGGGCATACATAGATTATTTCCAGCAAAACAGGGAAAAGAAGAAAGCTACCATGCAGATGTGTGCATACACAATACATGTACTCCTCAGATAATCCTCGGGAAGTGTGTCCCAAGAAGGTGTATGTTGGGAAACTGAGTCAAGGTGATTTGAGCTAGTTACCCAGAAAAAAAATGGCAGAATTGGGAATAAAATTCCAGGGGCAGTTGCTTGATTCAGTATTGTTTTTACTGAATCACACTACCTTCCTGGAGCAAGTCAAGGCCCATTGCCTTCCTTCCTGTGAAGATGGGCAGCTGGATTGCAATGACACCAGGTGGAGCTGAATGTGCTCATCACCTTGGAAAATCAGGCCCCTGGTGATTCTCTGTGATGTTAATTGACCGTCACACCCTGCAAGAGGGGAGTCGACACATTTCCTGACCTATGGTCTAAGTGTTCTCCAAACCCTAGAGTAAATTGAATGTAGTTATAGAGGAAATGCTGATGCAATCCACCAGCAGCTGCTGCTCTCCCACATCCTCACAAAGAAGGTGTGAGGGGGTGAGTCGCATGAAATAGAAACCCCAGACGCTTCTACATGGCAGGCAGGACTCCATGCCTTCCCTCCGGACTTCTTGCCTTCCTGCCTCTGAGAGAAACACTGCTAAGGGCTGCTCCCAAGAAAACCCTGGAGACCATTCTGAATGTAAACTTCTGAAAAAGCTTTTCATGTGGGACCACTGAGCATACAGTCACATCTGCCTACGTGACTGATTTATGAATCCTATATTGAAATGTGGAAATGTAGGTATCTTCTAAGTGTGAGTGAGGATGGTAAGAGCTGCACAAAAGTTGCACTCTTGCACTGAGATGTTTGATGATGTCACCAACAATAGTTGAACCACATCTCTTGGATCCAGATTATGATAAATTTCATTCTTAGGATCCTAATCTTTTGGCAACTCTGGTTTGGAAATTTAATCTTTTAATCTGTTTTGTTTTCAGTTGGTTGTTTTGGGGTTTGTTTGTTTGTTTTGTTTGGGTGTTTTTCTTTGTTTTTTTTTTTTAAATGCAAAATCATTTGGTGAAACCAGCCTTGTTATCTGCCACAAGCTGCATTTTTTGGTCTTTAACACACTGCAGGCATGTGGGATCACCTTCGTGTATGATGATGTTATTAGTTTTTCATCGGCCAGCAAAGGTTTTGAATGTTGTGTGGGATAGAGATGTCCCCAGCCCCTCCTTCAGCCGGTGATCATCTGTCACCCAAATCCCACACAGGGTCCTGCTGCCTTTCCCGTCCCGTTCCTGTCCTCAGTGCCGTGCCCTCCCCTGCTCCCGCTGTTTGCCTCGCCACTTTTCCCACTGCAAGCACGCCCCTCTGTTATTCCCAGCCGTGAACCCTTCCTGCCTCGGGGGGCTCCCCAGACGCTCCTGCTCCCGGTGCGGGCAGCGGGCGGGGCGCTGCGATGGCACGGACGGACGCACGGACGGACGGGGGCCGGGCCCGGGCGCCGCTCCAGGTGCCGGGGCCGCGGCGTTGCCGGGCGACGGGCGGCCGCTGTCGCTCCCGGCCCGCCGCTCTCCCGTTCTCCCCGCGGCCTCGGCACGGCCCGCAGGTAGGAACCGGCCCGGGGCAGAGAGGGAGGCAGCGCTGGGAGCCCGGAGGTGTGTGTGTGGGGGGGGGGGGGGGGAGGGGGGCTGGGTTCCCCTCCTTTCCCAGAGCTTGAGCCCTAAGGCCCCGGGTTTAGGGGGCGTTGAGGGAAGGCCGTTGTGGGGACCCGTGTGGGACGCACGGCCTGGAGCGGGACACACGGACTGGGACAATGTGGGACACAGTGCCTGATGTGGGACAACTCCAGTGCTTCCCGGAGCTTGAAAAGCCCACAGTGCGTCGCTGTGGCAACCCAGCCTATGTGCAGGTGTAACACACACGCCTGAGGTCTGAGACTGAAAGTCTCCGTTTATGCTCTGGTAGATGTAACAGAGTGTTTCAAACTTATGTTTTGGTGGAGCTCTGAGGAGAACAAAGTTGATGAATAAATAATCCTGGGCAGGTGGAAGTTGTAGAAGTATCCCCAGGTATTTCACACCGAGAGAACTCCTCCACGGTGCCTCCTCGGGTTCTCTTGAAGGGCTGAAGAGAGGTGCCAAACTCATGCAGAAAGGGCTCAGATGTGTCCCTGTCTTGCTCATCAGCCCTCTGTGGTATGGAAAATGGTTTCTGTCAGCAAGAAAATCACTTTACCCCCTCATAGGTTTTAGCAGTCAGTAATTAGTTAATTGGATACCTTCAGCTCTCTCTTTGTCTTGTCTGTGAGGCCTGTGCTATCCTGGCTCTGCACCTGTCTTCTATAGCTATTGATTCCTGATATAAATGTTCCTGCTCACCTATTATTTTCCGTTTTGACTATTTTTACATGGCAGTATTTTCTGACAACTGACACGGTGAAATACTGACATTAACCTTTTATGCCGTGCTACCCCAATGGTGATGTTTTCTCTAACACAGAATCGGCTTATTCCTTACCAGAAAATCGGTGTTCTTTTTGTTCAGTAAAAAACTTCTTTTTCCCCAACTATGTAAATTCTTCTCTATCAAGTCCTTCACCTTCTCACGGTCTTTTTGGGAACTCTAATGAGTTACACTTTCATTAAGCTCTTCTAGGTTCTACTGCTTCATGTCCTGTTCCACTTTTAAGCCCTATTGAGCCTGGACTTGTGCTGCTCAAGTGAATAAAGTACTTCTCTTTATTAATTGCTAAGTGCTCAGATTCCCTTGGGTTTGTTTTGTTGTTTGTTTTTTTGTTCTCTTGAAGATTATGTTCTTACTGTTGTTTTAGCAGGAGATGGAACAATTAAATAACACTATGAGCACCTGTCAGACAAGATAAACGAAGATAAACGGCTGTGACTACTAAATTAAAATCTCTGTAGGAGAGGAATGGGAAATGATGCAGAACATCAGTGGCATTGGAAGAAAAGGTAAAATTATTTCAAATGTACAAATTACTGAAACTGTTTCAGAAGTTTTTTAATTACTCTCCCATTTGATAGTATTATTTTTCTTCATGTTATTTTTGTCTGGTTTCATTTGCCTAAAATCTTGGACTAAAGGTACAGTGTTCAGGCATGTCAGATCTGAGTGTTGCTAGCATTAACAGGTTTTGTTGTGGAGGTTGTGGTGACTTTTTTTTTCTGGACTTTGTGCTCTCTCTCTCTTGGCTTTAACAGTGAGAATGACTGTAGGTCTGACCTCTCAAGGGATTGGTATATGGATACATCTACCTGTGGGCAGCTCTATTTGTTAGTTGTACATTTCTGTCAGTAAAAGAACAGGCTCTGCCCATGGTCTGGGATGCCATCAGCCTGTTCTTACACAATTCAAGGGACCTGATCCTACATAAAGCAGGATGCATATTCCTTGTGAGACCAGATGCAAGTTCAGCACTGGACTGGAATGATATTATTGATGATCATGCAAGTGCTTTTCTAACTGAAGTTCCTTAGGGGACACAGTTAAAGAAATCACATTTATTCTCAATGTTTGAAGTAGTATAAAAGTGCTGCAAAATAGTACCGTTATGTAGCATATCATGAATTTGGATTGCTGTGTTTGTCACTAATGGGAATGAATTAATATTTATTTGTGATTATGAAGAGGTTATTTCTTTTAATTGGAAAATTAATGAGATTTTCACAGAAATTAATTATATTATTATTAATTGTTAATATCTGCATAATTTTAGTTTACTATTATAATGGTTCGTGTTTTTATACCTTCCATGGAGTCACATGTGGGCTTGAAAACAAATTGGAAATAAAACCTATTTTATATCAGTAGGGTCACAAGTACTTGCTGTAATACAAATCAGAAGACCAGATTTGCCATGGCAGATGCAATAAATACTAGCATGTCTGTATTAAAAGGAAAAGATTGTGGACTCTGGCTACTTCAGAGAAACATCATCTGTTATTAAAAAATAGAAGTTAGAAAGCATGTGTTTCTTTGACTGCAGTTTCTCACATATGGAAGCAGTATTCAAAGTATAGCAAGCTGGCTGTTTATCTTGCATATTTTACATCTTTAGTTTAAAATTATTTTTTAGAATGGAGTTGTAAAACTACTTTGTTTTCTTTTTTTTTCTCTTTTTTTTTTTTTTTCAATGTTCCTAACATATGTGGTCATTGGGCATGGTTTTGCTCTATTTTAATGGTGTATCCACCCAAATTCAAAGTGGGGAAATGAAACGTCTATGGAATGAAGAGGCTTAAGTAAATTATTGATACTTGGGAAAGAGCATTCAGCTATTGTGTTTGTTAACTGAAAACAAAATCTTGCTGCTGGTCAAACAGACAAAGTGTTAAAACTTCTGAGAATAGGGGTTGAAAACAGTGGAGGTTCATGTACTGTCTCTATGGCCATATCTTGAATTTTGTGTGCAAATGTGATCATCCTGGAGAGTAAATGGCAGAACTGAAATTCTTTATATGAAATGCTTCAGAGAGCAGAGGAGGTGAAATGAGATGATGCAAAAGAAAGCTATAATTTAATGAATGGCATGGACAGTTGGATGTATTCTCCATAATTCTAACTGCTGTTGACCTAATTTCTAATTTTAGCCTCTAAGCAACGTATGCCTGTCTTCCCCAATTTAAATAAATACAATGCAAAAATGCACTTTCTCAGTTTCTAAAACTAAACTAAAATTCTAAAATGTCCTTAGACATGACAAACAATTGCTTCCCTGTACACCTCCCCAGCTGTTGAACACAAGTCACCTGTTGGACTGGGAAGTTACTGCCAGAAATTACAGCAGCATGCCAGGGAAAGGATCACTTTGGACTATCTCTTTCATCCTGCATAGAAGTTTATATTTAAAAAGGCTCATAAATGCAGTGCAATTGTAGCTGGGGAAAAAAAAGGGCCAGTTTTTGTTGTCTTTTTCTTAGCTGGAATCTGGAAATTCTTCTAAATGGTAGATACTTAAAACTGCTATGAAGAGTAGAGTTTTTCTTCTCTGCAGCTTTGGACTGTCACTCAGTTCTGAGTCCATGGGTTAGAATATATTTGTTCATCTTGAAAAGATACTTATTCTGCAAAACCTTGCTTTGCTTCTGTTCTTCTTTAGTATGTCTAATAACATGCCTAGCATCTGAATTTTTAAGTAATTGCTGAATTATACCTTTTAAATGCAGGGAAGGTAAATACATCTTCCAGTGGCATCTACATTTAAGGCAGGATCTGTGTGTGTGACAAGTACAGATATGTTGATTCCTGTGTACCTTGTCATTAGCTATCCATGATAAGACCCCTACATAAGGACAAGAGCATTTTAACTAGACTAGCCTCATTTCTCCCTTATTTAACATCCGGACACTGTTGGAAAAAAGCTTGTGGCCATGAAGGGCCAAATGTGGTTTCCTGATCCCTGGCTACCTTGATAAAATGGTGAGGGATTTACTGTTATCCAGTGCACTGAGAAAAATGAAGTGCATTTGGCAAGCCTCTGAGAGTGAAGGTGTTGGTACCTTGGAGCTCTGTTTTTCCATAACCCCTGTTGTTCACCAGCTATCCCCAAATCCTGCTCTCTGCTTTGCTCTTCTAGGGCTCATTGACCGATAGAAGGGTGTCTCAAGAAATTTTCTTATGGCAGGAAGTTTACCTATATAAGAAGAAAACCCCTCAATATGTAGCATCTTGGAGTTTCATCTAAGGATTTAGATAATCCGTACCCATCCATAGCCACTGTCTGGAGACTTGCAGTACAGATAGAATCAATGAACATTTGTAGCCAGACTGAAATTACCACTGACCACCTTCCACCACAGGACTCTAAAACAAATTAATTTGCCTTCAGTTTGCTTTAACTTGGACATGTAATAGAACATATAATAGTGACCTGCTTTTATATCTTGCTGTGAGGATGTTTTGTTGAGGAATACACTTAGAGCAGGTACTGGGTGTGCAGCTGCAGTGGGAGATGCAGGTTGTGCCTGGGTGGGAGCCGTGACCTGGTGCTGACCCTTCATACAGCAAAGAGCACAGGGACCTGTGGCACCGGCCAGGGAACCGGACACTCGGACACAGCAGGAGCTCAGCAGAAAGACTCCAGACTATTCCAGGCATGGAGGGCACAAAACCTGGGCATTCCTTTGTTGGGAGTCCTACTGCAGAGACACCACCTTGAGCAGCTTTTGTGCCACTGCACCACAATTTAATTACTTAGAGAATCCAGACATCTGAGACTCTGCTAGGGGAAACTCAGGGCTGAGCCAAACCCTGTCTGACTGTGAGTGTGGGGTGTGCAGGGACCAAGAGGGGCACCCTTGGGGTCACCAGAGCCATCTGCTGATGGGACTGTGGTCTCAGCAGTGGAAGTCTGGGGTGCTGGGAATGTGACTGACAGAGTGGCTCCTGGATGGTCAGACAGGGAAGTTTCCTTAAATATTTGGCAAGCTAGCTCCAGAATTATGTAATAATGGGACATTGCCAACTCATATGATAGAACATTTCTCATCACCCTGCTCAGCAGGATCTCAGGGGAAAAGTATTATATATGCAACTGTAATTATGAAATAGTTATTTTGTATGTCTACATCGAATCTGTAGATATATAAAGGAGAAATGGGTGACATTTAAAGGCATTGCCTTTTTATTATTACTATTAGGGTTATAAAGAATATTAGACATCTTTTATCTCAACTGTGTCTGGGTTTGTAGCATGCATTTTCTTCTCTGGGTTCACTGCTGCTTTGAGTGACAGCACAGTTTGAACACAGCTAAATGCATGGGAGTATTACAATGTCCACAAAACTCCCAAGAGCTTTCCCTGAGGAGTCTGTGGGACATAGATCCCAAGGCTTACCTGCCATGGTTGTGGTAATTGTAGAGCAGGATTTATATTTAATAGCAAAGAACTGTCAGAACACTCTTACAGCTTTTAAAACTATAAATAAGGAAGGTAAACAATTATATAAATCAGTCCACTTGCTTTATATGCACATTTGGATGCTTGAACCATGGCCTCAAATTGACTGAACAGTTACACAAAAATATCATTGTAAGCATTCGAGTCATTCAGTGTCATAAAAGTCAGTGAATTTTTAATTATATTAAATGGGATATTGTTATCTTAATATTTCAGCTTTCCTTTAAAAGCTTTTTTTCTTTAGTGAGGCACAGAAGTGGAATATTTATGAATGCTCTTTATAGTGTTTGCATGATCCCTTGATATTAAAGTAGCATTACTGAAGGAGTTATTTTGTTCTGCATAACAAAACCAGAAGATTACAATCAGATTGTTTAGTCATACACACACACAAAAAGTCATATTAGTAACAGGACTGGTGTTTTATTGTTCAGCTTTTTAGAAGCTGCACCTGCTAAAATAGACTGATACGTTGCAGGATGCTTAATATTACATGAATGTTGCAGGAACTGTTTTTGCCATTATGGGTGGATTATTGTAACAGTAGTTTCCTGATGACATCATAGTAAATTCCAGCTGCCCAAACAGTTATTTTCCAGAAGAGGTTATCTGCAGTGCACTTGTGCAAAATTACACTTAGAAAGGGCACTCATAGTTCCCTTGGGACTTGTAAACCAAGCGTTTTGTCAAATCCATAGTAAATACAGAATTCTTTGTTTTCATTCTGTGTCAGTGGTAACAGTATGTGCACTACTGTAATTTGTGATTCTGAACTAAACAGACAAAAATTATATTATGCGAGACAAGAGAAATGGAAGTCTGCAGTGCAAGCTTCCTGTCATGAAGGGATAGATAGCACAATCGTTCTCAAATGGGTGTTTTTTCTAGAGAATGTTTTGGCTGTTGACCAAAAAATATGGATAAGGGCCCAGAGACTGCAGTATTCCCACTGAAATGGTACCCTTCATGTCCAGTGAAGGCAAGAGTAGCCACAGAGCAGGAGAGGATGCTGGTCGAGAAGCTGGCCTGAGGCAGTAGAGATTCCTTCTTGTATGGGATGTTAATATATAGAGGTATATGCCTTTCCTAGAGTGAATTTTCATTAATTACTGCTATTTGGGTTTTTTTGTTTTGCTCTGCTTTTAAATGGTAACTTAATTGCTTGAACAAGCTGTTTAGGTAATGTGAAGGCTGCATTAGAAATTTTCATGCCTAGTCACACAATTCAGAGGTTCTTTCCCAGTCTTAAGAAACCGTAATGAATATTGAGTCAAACGTTTCTGGCAATTGCTGAATTTGAAACGTGTATTAATATATATTTAATGAAGAATACACAATCTTATCACTGACTCTTCGATAAATCTTGTAGCAGGAAAATAAAATCTTGGAGTCCTACCAGATTGTCGGACCCTAAGAACATCAAATAACTCTGCCAATTCCTTTCTAGCAAATTACAGTATTCTGAGGGGATTTTAAATAACATGTTGTTCCAAGGATCATTTAATTTTAATAATGGTTTTTATTACTGGTATTAATGTATGTTGAAAATGTCCTGCAGTTTTTAATGAACTGTCACAACATGTCTGTGAATTGAATAACTTACCATGATTACACACACTCACTTGGGTAGGGAGAGTGGCAGCAGTGGAGAAGGTTGGCAGATTAACTCTTTGTAGAATTCAAAATCTTCCATCTCATTGTTCTGGTCATTGACTTCTCTTGCACCTCATGATTATTTGCTTCTAGTTATCCACACAAGTAAGAACCTGCCAAGTTAAGAATTTTGATGTAAATCCTGCAAAAACCAATCTATTGGTTCCCTTCAATCTTTTATTCTTCTCAGTGTTCACATGCAGTATAAAACTCCATTATTTCCCAGCCATTTCCTCTTCCCCTGACACACTCATGTGCATACTGGTATTGCTGTGCTGTCCCACTGGACTGACTGCAGGTTTGTGCTGGGTGCAGTTAGCTTCCATCCTTGTGTGTTCCACAAAATGCTGCAGGAATGGCTCTGGTCAGCACATGGATCCAACATACATCCAGTGCAACCACCTTCTCTAGGAAGGAAATCTTCAGGTTTCCGACTTTTCAGACCTCTTTACTGACAACAAAAGTCTTTGCAGTCCCTGTAAACTGTCTCACTGGAGTTAGTTTGGGTCAGTGTTGGCTTGTCCTGTGCGTTTGGCAGAGCTGTAGGTTTATCAGATAAACCAGATGAAAATGAGCAGTGTGACTCCTGTGTCTCTAGGGGGACAAATGTTATGCCAGGCCCCCTTCTTGCTCCTACATAGTGCTGGAGATTTCAGAGGTTCCTGGATTTTATGAAATATTGGCACCTCACCACTCTTAAATTTTTCTACAGTCTCATTTTGGTCCATGTTCAGGAGGAGATTCTTCTCTGGAGAAAGCTTTGAAGTGATAGAAACATGTAAAAAAATAGTTTTGCTTGCTGACAATAATTCAACTTGATCCCAAACAATTTGTAATGAAAATACTTTTCTCCTCACTAATCCAATGTTACAAGAATTACAAGAGCAGATCAATACCAGGAAGTATAAAACAAAGTATTACTTCAGATATTAAGCCACAAATTGATCTCCTTTTCAAGCCTAAAGTAAGTGCTGTATCAACATGTCTCAAAATTTTGAGGATGTTCTGAAATGTGATAGTGATGGCCCAACAGAGGGAGAACAGTAATTTGTTTTATGCAAGCATGTTAACTCTTTGCAGTCTGCATCTACAAAATCCTGTTGTCTCATTTTGCACTCACACATTACATCAGTTAGTTATCATTAGTTATTAATAGGTCTCTGACTATTGCTCCACTTGGTTCTGATAACATACAAGATTATCTCTGGATAATAACAATCCTTACTTGAATTAGAAAGAACCACCAGTACTTGCACACAATCCAGCACAAGTCTCGTGCAACTGGCAAAGGACTCCAGAATTTATGACAAGAATATTCTATTCCAAACCTATTATTGACCAAAATAATTCCTTCTTAGGAAAATAATGACAATGCCAGAAGGTCTTCATATCACAGAAGATACTTTAATTTTCTTAGACAACTGATGACTTTTCCAAATCTATACTGACTAAATCATACTGAACTGTTCTAAAGAAAGTAGAGGAAAAATGTCTGAGAAATTCTAGAATTCTTTAGAAAAAGAAACAGATAATAGAAATTTATGTATTGTAATTTTTTTTCTAAAATGCAAGACACAATATTTTTGAGGTCTCTTTTCCCTCCTAATGGGCAGATGTATGAAAGTTGTCCTTACACTACTACAGGCACACAGAGGGTTTAGAAGCTGCAAATATCACTACTCAATTCACTTTTTGATGGTTCTTTTGTAAGCCGGTAAGAAAGATTGAAAGGAGTTGTGTGACTCTGAACAATATGTCCCTGAACGTGATTTTTGGGCATTGAATATTGCTGTGGCTTAAGTGTAGAATATTTGAGCAGCCAGCTTCTCCTGTAGGAGTGCGTGCCGGGTAGGTGCAGTGACCTGGAAAAAATAGGGTTTGCTTTTTGTGGGCTGCTTCTGCCCTGATGAGTGTGCAGAAGGAGCACTTAGGAATCTGGGGGTTTGGTTCCTCCCTTCCTAGTGTAGGAGATTGTGCAGGGAGAGGTTTGGTGTATCATCAGTTTTTTGTTACTATTTTTGTTTGGATAAGGGCTGCTGTTTTTTCCTGACCATACAGAGTCTTCTGAATTTATTTTTCTTGTGCAAATGAAGAATTTTGACTGGACTTGAGTAGTCGGAATCAGTCTTTTTGATACAAACCTCTTTCACCTTCTAACAAGTCATTCCTCTTAAGCAGAGATGACCAGCTGAGCAGTCAGAAATCCTATCTACCCTAACAGAAGTTACTTCTGTGTTTAACTGTTTATTAGTGTGAAGAGGAAGGAAAGTGGTAATTCTCAGATCTTGGCCACCACTGATGCTTTGTCAGCCAGTTGTGGTTAGCTTGATCATTTAATTACTTTTCCAGCACTAAGAATAAATATTGCTTTGCAGTGGAGAACAGAACAAAACTGCAGGTGTCCCTTCAGCAGAGCAAGACAGTTTTTCTCTAGTCTAGCCTTTTGTTGTTAGAGCAGTGTTTCCAGCTGTGATGCTTCCTTGTTGCCAAGTAGTAGTAAATAGCTGTATAAATCACAGTAATGCTTGCACCATTTGGGTACAGATGATTGCTTTTTTACTCTAACGGGTGTACTTATGCTAACTCTCATATTTCAAAGTTAATTGTCAATATTTCTGTGAAAGTGATATCTTTGGGAATTGAAGAATGACCACATTTGCAGTGCTTCATCTTCAAACTTTGTATTTCATTCCTCACTTGAAATATACACAATTTTATATAAATTGTATTTTTAATTTATTTTCTCCAAGATTGTCTTCAGAACCAGAAGTCAGTAGCCATTGCCTGCGTAACCTAGCGTCAGTAACAGTGGTGGGATGTTTGATTTAGGACAGCAAATACAGACAAGTTCTGTCCATGCAACCTGCAGGCAGAGCTCAAAATGCTTGAGAGACGTGGTGTTGTGACTTGGTACTGGCACTTGCAGTCTGGAGTCCAGCAGAGTTTTGCTGAGTGTTGTTCATGCTTCTCAAGAGGAAATGGGCATGCAGGGAGCCTGTGTGAATGGGAAGCTCACTGACACTGGAGAAGGATGAGTGGAGTAGTGAGAAGACTGGAAAGGACTAGTGTCCTGAGTTGTTTGTTCTCAGCTTTCTTCTTTGCACAGAGCTATAGGCATGCCCAGCTTCTTGTAGACCTGCAAACAACAGTTTGCATTAAAAGCTTACACTCAAAGCTGAATGAGGTGTGAGACTCGGGTAGCTCTTTAGGGTGAAGAAAAGGAAGAGCATGTGTTACGTAATGGATAGCTTTGGGTTTGTGCTGATTAAAGAAACCTGTATCTCTATAGGCATTTTCTGTCTTGCAATGGGAGTCAAAATAGATTTTGCTGACAGGAAAATAATAAATACAGGTAGGAAAATCAGACTGCTTGTTATCCTTTTGTTCAAAGCATGTTGAGATGGACCTGAAGTGGAATCCTGACAGAGTTTCTCATCCAGGCTCATTTGAAGACCAGGAGACTGATTTGAATTGGCAACACAACGCAAATCTCAGTCCGCTGATTAAAGATGATGGAGAGCTGCTTATGGATGAGCATCTTTCCCCCAGGAAACTGGTGAGTAGACATCCAACTTTTTAATGAAGTGGAAGAGGCAAACTGGCATATACAGAGCTGGATTAACCTTCCAACTGCTATTGTACTGATTGTGGATTGTTGCCTCTCTGACATTTAGATTTTTGCGTAAAGTAGATTCTGTCTTATGAAAGTATATCAAATGTTTGTCCTCCTTTTACCTTGTTTCATATCAAAAGTATTCCCAGCATGAGTGTGGCTGTGTTTATTGCCAGGGCTCTTGAAGCACCATGAAGAAAAGCACAGGTAGCATAATTGTAGTCTACACAGATCTCATTAATGCCATCTGGAATACCTTGAATCTCAGCATTAGAAAAAGAATTTACATTACTCTTGTTCTAGAAATTGGAAATATAACTTTAAAGCACAATTTTTTTCCAAGTTAGTGAAATCCTCTGTCCTGTTAAGAAACTGTTTAAAATATTCTGCAAATGATAGAAGTACTTTCTAAACATTTCAAAGTGGGAGGAATTTCAAAGCATATTTGAAAGCCATGTTCCTTTTAGACTGGGGAAAATGATTTTCATATACAGCCTGTTGTAAGAGAGTAACATGCTGAAATCTTCATGAAGGAACTCACTTTATGAAATATTTGTGAAAGAGTACTTGATTGCACACTGTATTGCACTTGCTCAGTCCTGATTAAGGGTGAAATCCTGTGGGATGTGTAGGAGATGACCAAACAACGTCACTTTTCCATGCTAAAGGAAGGGAGAGTTGAGAGCAGATCTTGAGGAGAGAGGCTTTCCGTGCTGCAGATCTACAGAAGAACCTCTCTTCTGCTGGGGAGCATTTGTGAAAGACAGATGGGGCTGCCAAGGCTGTGGTTCAGGTGTCCCAACAGCCAGGGGGGTGATAGCAAGCGTCCATAATCCCCCGTATATCCACTGCACCAGCGGAGAGACATGAGCTTCTGCAGGGAGCATATTCCAGCTGCTGGTTTACACCACTCCCTAGCCACTCCCAAACTACATTCCAGGCACCATTTTGACCATGTGCTGTAGATTAGACAGAGCTATTGTTCCCTAATTAGCCAAGTCTTTTAGTGTTTGTAAAATGGTTGGAGATGCAAAAACCTCCTTCTGCAGAGTGGATATTTTAAGCATTCTGGAGAAAAATTGCTGCATATTTGTATGGTCTATGCCATTCACTTTCCTTTGGCTCATGAGAACCTCCAGCCACTTCTTAGTCATTTTTTAAAACCTGACATAGAATTGGACCAGTGTAATGTGTTTGTGACCTACAATAGCCTGTATAAATCTGACGGGAACCTCTCCTTTTAGTCTGTATCGTTAGGGCACGAACCAAAGCCCATTAGAGTAACCAAAACAGCTGCCCTCTGACTCAATCAATTCTGAAAGAAGCCCTTAGGAAGTTCTTTCATTGGCATGAATTTCTCTTTCTGAACCTCTGCTGCTTTTAGTTCACAGCAAAAAGTAAGCAGAAAAATATATGTAAGGCAATGTTACCTACATCCCATGAAGTTACTGTTTATTATTTTGTAACTTTTTTTTTTTAAATGCAGATAAGAAGTTAAGTAATTGAGTTTCGTGGTTTTTGAGATTGTGGGTTTTAAAATTTGTAAGGAATCTCATTTGAAAGATTCTTTTAAATGAAGTACACTGTCCTGCTAATTTTTCTGGACACAGTTATTTCCTGCCCTGGAACCTGACATTTGTGTTGGCATACTGGGATACTTCCTGCTCAGAGGAAAAACTACATGACATTGTCAAGGAAACATTTACAGTGTTTATAGCTTGTTTTAAAAACATGCCCCATCTATCTATTCTCTGACCTTTGTGTTGATCAAATGGAAAGCACTGCTGCCATAAATTTACTTCCTCTGGATTTGCAAATGTCCAGAATGTTCAAACATTTAATACAAAACAAGTCTTCACATGTATAATTCTTTGAGGACCCACATGCCATTGACAGTCAAATGGTTTGAAAGTTTGTCTTGCTTAAATCAATACAATTGCAGTATCTTTTTGATTGTCTTATTGTTGTGAATATTTTAGGAGTTATTGATTGTATCCGTTGAAGTGCTCTGAGAAGGAAACTAATAGACTTTTATAATACAGGCTCATTAAAGTAAAATTGTTTTACATTCAAATAAGGGCACGGGCCACACTTCTGTAGTGTTGTGTAGGCAAATTTTTGCACTCCTGATGGATGTTCCTGAGGAAGGTTTTTCCCGAGACACGTATTCAGCTTTACTCCTTGTCCTCTCAATGGTCTGTCTTGTACCAGTTTGGTTTGAGTCTGGGGAAGCTGCACAGTCTGGTTGTGCAGACTCTGGATTGGGCACCTTGAACTGCAGCCTGCAGTCTCATTTCTGCCTGCACATTTGACTCATTTTGCCTTTTTTCCAGGGGGATGGCTGTCTGTTTTGTAGTGAAACTGCTACCAGTCGGTCTCCATTAACAGTCTGCATTATTAAGAACTCTCTAAAACTTGTGACACTTGTGTTCCTTCACTTTTTTTATTCACTTGCTGCATTGTTTTCCTCCAACGAGAGGAAAGTTTGGCTTAGACTGGTTTTGTTTTGGTTTTTTTTTTGCCTTTTTGCCTTCTTGGACCATGTAGAACAAAAGAATTTCTACAAAACCACTGGACCATGTTCTTCCTCTCCGTTGTGAATCCCCTCACTTAGACTTTATGCTCATTCACCACAGTTTGTAGTTTTCTGTAGCCTTGTTTCAGCATAATGTTCACTTTAAATCTTGTATGGTTCCATATTTCCACTATGTTAACCACATCTTCTGTTTTCTTCTTGCTGCCAGCTCTTTTGCTGCACTATCGTGTAACATCTTTTTATATTTGAATGTCCTTCATCCAGGCTACAGTTCAAAAGCTTTTGATACAAGGGTTGGTATCATTAGATGTCATTTTTATTCTTTTGAGTATCAATTATATCAATATCAATTTTCTGGTGTATTTTTTAATTTTCCTCTATATGAATAGGCATTCTTGCTTTTCCATTTGTATCTGTCCTATTAATATTTTCAGCTCTGTATTTTCCTAATTATTTTCCTATTAATATTTTCCTGCTGTGCCCATTCTTATGCATGGTTGTCAGATATTGTAGAATACCAGGGTGAGCAAATTCTCACTTTGTTCTGAAAACTGGCTAACAATGGGCAATTAATTTTAACTCTGTTAGGGCTGTGACACAGATTTTTCATTAAACATGGAGAAACTGAAATTAAGGGTGCCACCTGTCTTTAATCACTTTTATATTTTTTTTCTATCAACCCCCATCCTCTCCCTGCTGTTTGCAAAGGATCTTTTCCTGATTTCCACTAAAAGCATTCCACTTCTCAGAAGAAACTCATTTTACAGGGTCAAATGATCTTCCAGACATTGTCACATTATAAAACCCAATCACGTTTGTGTGTGATCTTTAGAGAAGAAAGGAAGTATTCTCTAATTTTGCTTTTTATTGATCCTGCTCCAACTAATCATGTTTTCCAAACTTAGCAACACGTGTTCGGATGTGGTGTTTAGTTTTGTTGCTCAGGAGGTTAGGGTGTATTTCATACGGTATGCACTCATCCTCACGGGAAAAAGAAAATGCTGGAGGGTCCTGGAACAACAGATTGGATTCTTGCTGAAATGGCTCAGTTGTTTCCTTTTTCTTTTGCAGGAAATTTTCCTCGCAGTTTTAAGATAAATGGAATTGAGGAAAAAACTGGACATCCAGAAAGTGCAGAACCTTGATAAATTAGGTAGAGTAAGGGAATGGAAGCAACTGAATTTGGATCTGCTGAGTCCTTCATTAGAAATGTATAATAATTTTTTTTAAGTTTGAGGGGTCCTCTGGAGGTCTGCCAGTTTGATCTTCCGTTCCAAGCATAGCTAGTTTCAAAGTTAGTTCAGATTGCTCAAGGAAGCAGATAGTAGAAGTAATACTGTGAACTGGAAAAAAAAAATAAAATTACAAAGCCTCTTTTAGTTTCAGAGCTTTCCTTCTATAAGTTCCTCTCCTAACACTGATACCTCCACAGTAGTGAAGTTGTTATATTAGTGTTCATCCTGCTACTTAGGCATCTGATGTTTTACATTCAAATTTTCGCGTCAGGAATCTTTATATTTTTATATATATATATATATATATATATATAAAATATATATATTTATTTAAATATATATTTATATATATGCATACACATACATATACATGCTTTTGTATGAGAAAACTCAGATATTAATTTGCTTACAGCCACCAGTGCTTAACTTGTATAAAAGGACATTGCAGTCTTGACTCTTCCATGTTCAGCGGCACAATCTTGAGCAATGATTGTAGCTACTGTCTGTGTACCTTATTCCTAGATAGGAAAAGAATTAATGTTGGGGTGTAACTTTTTTATATCTCTGTGAGAGAAAGTAAATCCTTAAAACAAATCTAAGCAAAAACTGCTGTAAGAATATCTACTATCCTGTCCACTCCTGACCTGCCTGTTAATTCAGCACATAGTTGAAACTGTTTTTTTCCTCCTGCAGAAGTGTCATGGGCTATTTCTGGGAGATCAGATCTCCCATCTTGTTTCTGGTCCCCTACCTGCCTGCTGAAGTTTGCAATAGTTAGATTTGCCAGCAACTTGCCACATCAGATCCTTAATACTAGTTTAAAAAAAGGTGTCAGAACTGTGAATCCCCAGCATGAGTCAGTGAGGAGCTGGACTGTAGATAGCAAGACTAGGCAAGGGCATATCCATGTGCATCTGCTGGCATGACATGGGGCTTCAGCACAAGAATAAAGGCTTCTTTACTAATGCATCCCCCACTACTTAAATTTCATATTTACTTCCCTCATCTACACTTCCCATGTAAGCCAAGAAAATCTCTTTTTGTAGCACCTAGCTAATCTCTTCATCTGAGCTGAGAGAATGTATTTCTATGTATATGCAGAAAGTAGTGAAATACAGCTAAATATTTTAGTTATGGGCATTTGCAGCATTTAGCAATTTTGAAAGGAAATTTGCACATGGGGCCACAGAGAAGTTCTGTTCCCTTTCATTTAATCACTTAAGGCCTATTAATTTGCTAACATTTTTCTTCTTGGAAGAAATATTTTGTCAGGCTTTTAGCAACTTTTTTTTTTCTTTTTTTTTTGTGAAGGAGTGATTATACTTGAGTCGGGAATTTGAAAAAAAAAAAAGCAATAAACACATGAATGGACATGAATCTAGAATTTGCATACAGGTGTAGTATTCAAAGAGAGCAAGCTCACCACTCAGGAATTCCTGTCTTAGCCAAATTAATCAGGATCAGCAAAATAAACACACAGCTGGAAATATTTCTCTGACAGCTGTATGCAACTTATTCTTCAGCAACATGCCTACTTTTCTTAGAGTATGTGAAAAATCTAGGGAAGGGAGAAGACATCAGTTGTGTATGCCAATTTTGACTGAGCAGATATTATTTGCCAATTAAGGAATTTACAGATAGCAGCAAGTGAGACTTAAACTGGATTTCCCAGCATCCCCAGGTGACTGCTCTGCCCGTTGGGAAGCTCTGCAAGCACAGAAGTATTTCTCACTTGCAGCTTTTTACAGAATACTTACTGGCTTTTCTTGTCAGTCAGAGAGAAGCTTTTCAAACCACTGCACAGTCCCCAGTTGGCCAGACATTTGGCCAGACATTTTGCATGGTGGGAATGGTTTGTGAAACATCATGGGCTTGCTTCTTAAAATACTGGCTAAATTATTTACCAATAGCTTCTTCATGAAAAATAATTTTACTCCTGTTTTGGAGAAGGTGAAAAATGTAAAGTGAACTTTCTTTGTCTTTGTTTTACTTACCCTGTATTCAAAGTACCTTTGCAGACTTGTGCAGTGCTTTACCATGGAAAAATGTGTCCTTTCAAAGAAACAAATTTACAGTGGAGGGTAAATCTGCTGTTCAGAATCAACCTTTCAGGCCACCTTCCTGAACGTGATGTGCCAGGAAGATTTTGATATTTGATCCTTCAGAAAACAGCTTTGCCCAGCTGATACCTACCTTGCAGGACTGCAGATGGGTGGCAAGCAGAGTCCTCTCTAAACACCAACACTCAGCTTAGAATTGTATTTTTTTTTTGAGGTATCTTTTTGATCTAAAATAACTGTGAATATATCCCACTCTTCACCTAGAACTGATCCTTGGTCCCTTTCTGTTTGCTCTACATGGAGGCTGAGCAGCTGGAAGCAGCCAAAGATACACCTAGGTGCTAGAGCACCTTCATGTCTGTAAGCATTCTTGGGGCACAGGCAGAGACATTCTGTCCCTGGCTGTCAGAACAGCCTATTGAGTTAGGGGCAGGTGGTCATTACCTGAAAAAACAGTGGGACACCTCTGAATTAGGACAGGAGCCTGTCCTAGACCTGGGATGGCCCTAGGAATGAAGAGAGACAGAGCACTGTAGCATCACTTCTGTCCACATGGTGCTGGACATCTCTCTGTCCAAGCTGATGACCTCTTCAGTGATCTGGGTCATGATTTTTTTTTTTTTCTCTTGCAGCAAAATTCATCCAAAATATCCCTCCTTTCAAATTTTGGTGAAGGTTCCCATGTTTTTGACATTAAACAACAGCATAAATAGAAGCTCCTGCTAAATAGGTTTCATCTTTGTTTGAATGTTTCCATGTTTGTCCCTAAATGTCCCCCATTCATGGTGTCAGAATTTTAGCTGTGACATGAGAAGTATCACACTTGAAGGTGCACCAGCATGCCAAGAATGGTATCTGGAGAGTAGTAATGTCCTGTCTTCCACAGGAACCACTCCTCACATACCCTTCTCTTGAACTGCCAACCTGGCCTTTGCTCGCTGACTCGCTTGCAGTCAACACCTGGGGTCTCAGTGCTTTAGTGCCTTTAAATGAGCTCATGTCCTCCACCCAAGAGCATTTCCCAATTCCTTCATGTACTACACTGACTTGTGCATCCCACAGCAAACTGGTTTCAAGCTGTCCTAGCATCTCCTCACCCTCAGCAGATGGAAGGACAGTTATTGTCATAGAGGCTCTTGGAAATACAGAACAGGGAGGTGGGCACCGAGAGTATATGGAGTTTGTTGCGTCTGGCTAGCACATGCTTCAAGGCAGCTATCTATAGCTCAAAGAGCTGGTGATGACAGCCAATAACCCTTTCCAGCAGTGGAGTCACAGTTCTGCCTGTTGCAGTACAAAAATATGGGTGCTCTAAGCAGCTCATCTCTCAGGCACTGGAAAAGGTACAAATAATGCATCCGAAGAAGAAAAGGAGGGCAAGGAATGACACTGGTAATCCCTGGTATGAGAAAAAGGAATAGGGAACCCTACACAAAGAGAGAATATATCTTCATGCAGGTTTTATAGTTGGATTTTGAAAAAAAATATCAGGGAGCAGAACTGTGAAGGGAGGCTGTCTGGAATACAGCAGGGGAAGGACAGCATGCAGGGAACTTGCAGACGGCAATGGAGAAAAAGACAAAAAACAGAGCAAAGGCTCCTTGGGGTGTTAGGACCTTTTGCTACTCAACTGACAAAGTATGTGACCCTAAGCTTATTACTTGTTCTGAGACGTTTTCCTGCTCTGATGTAGACTCGTAAAACTCATAAAAACTATTTTGATGGGGAGCAGGGAGGTATTTTTCAGAAGCTTCTTCCTTTAATGACAGCGAGCTTGCATCCAAATCCAGCAATCCGAGTGCATGGTTTTATGCCAGAACATCAGCAAGCTCTCGTTTCACACATGATCTCGTGCTATGTGACAGACAGTGTCATCTGCCGAAAAGGGTTCATTTCAAAGACATGCAAAATGTGTCTTGCCGTGAGGGATCCTGTGTTCACTTGGAGGGAGAAAGCAGTCTGTAGCTGTTAAGTTTGCTGCCTTTGCAACAGCAAAACACAATTTGTGGTGGCTGCATGTGGGGATAAAGTCTTAAAAGTTTTCTGATGTTTGGCCTGCTTAAAAATCACAGTTATAAAAAAAATTAAAAATAAGATAAAAAGTAATTTTAAACATAATGTTTTAAAAATAGTTCAAAAGCAGTTGAAGATATTGGATAATTCTGTTTCTTAGGAGAAAAAATCAAGACCTTATAAAAGGGGACAGTTTTTCAAGAAGGTATGCTTAGCTTTTTCTGGAAACCATGTCCTTTTGAATTGCCATCTCAGTCATACTCAGACTGGTTTTGGTCCTTCGTAAGAGGATATGGAACTTCAGAGGAAGTTGCAGCCACTTGCACACAATAAGTGTTACCTAATGAGCAGGAATGTCACAACCACCATTTTTTCCTTGCAAAATTAACTGGATATTCTGGTGGTTACTTTTCCTTCCCAAAACTAATAAACAGAGATCGTCCTACACATTCCCTTCTAATGAATAAGTTCTCCCTTATTAAAAAAAACCTAAAGAATGTTGTAGCTTTATAACAGTGAGAAATTTTTTCTCCTGTATGTGGTGGTTACTGAATGACTTTCTGCCTTCACCTTAACTAAAGGCCCAGAAGGTTGGTGACAATACTTTCAACCCCTGCTCTTGGTTGCATTATTGAGGAGAAACCGATGCCAGGGTCAGATGTCAGACATTTTGAAATGGGCATGTTCAGCCCCTCATCCTAACTCTTTTAACACAGGAAGGTGAAAACGTAGAAGTTTCATCACTATGTATAGCATCAACAATTTCAGGCAGTCAGTATGACAAATAAACCTCTCTACTCATTTCTCAAGGATTGTTTCAGACTCCACTATGAACCACTAAGCCATGAGGAAGAAAGGATAGAGTTCTTGTGGTCTGCTTTGTTGAATTCATGCAACTTGCCTGATGCAAAGGAGGTGCTGGGATACGCATGCTGAATGAGGGAAACTGGGGAGAGGAGTTGGATCATAGCAGGAAGAAATAGCAGATGAGAGAGCAGTAATGAGATTGCTTCAGCTCCTTGTGGAGTTGCAGTCTGGCATCTTAGGATTTCACATCCTTGCTGTAGTTTTCGCTGCCAGTCTTAGAGTTTCCCTCTCTCTTCTGTGTATAGCTTATGCTTGTTTTATTCCTCCTGCTTACCTCCGTCACGGCAAAATGTACATGCATGTATCAACACAGACTTCAGGATATTCAGAAAGATTAGGGAAGAGTCTACATTCACACACACATCCTTGCTTAGTGCAATGGTTCATCCAATTAGTACAATTTTGTCAAGATAATGAAGAATTTTGAAAGCCTCTATTTGCATTGCCTAGATATTTTCAAAGAAATTCATAATTCTTGTAATTAGTGTAGTCTTCTTTCAGAAAAGTGAGCTGCTTGAGCTAAAATTGCGTATGTTTTTATTGTTTTGGGTTAAAAGGTAAACAGTGTGTTTTGTTTAGTTTTACTACCAGCACCTTTTGAATTACAGGTGATGTTTAAGGTTAACACTTTCTGTCTGCTAAGGATTAGTGCAAGACTTGTGCAAATCTTAAAGCATGGACATACTGTTTAAATGGAGCTAGCTGGCATGTAGGTATGTTGTTGGTTTGAAGCTTGAATGTAACCCTGAGCCGTGACTCTTTAAGCAATGTGTAAGTTTTGGGAGACTGGAGTATTTTTGGGCTACAAGGAAGAAAGGTCTTTGAATACTACATTCATTTCAATGTGATTGCACATCTAGCCATGCAGACCTGGAATATATGTTGACAAAACACTGGTTGAAAATCTTTCTACACCTTTTTGCTGCTGTGACACCTGGTTTATTGCATGAGAGTACACATATATTTCTGCTTATCTTCACAGAAAATTTTGGCAGGGGTAGATGATCTGCAGCAAGTGAAGGTCCTAGAGATGCGAGTAGACACCAGAGAGATCAGCTTGGGGAACTTTGGTAAGAAAACATTTGATTTTCTACTCATCATCTTGAATTTTCCTTTATGGTGAAGTAAATAGACTTTATGGTGAACAGAACAAACTGTTTAATTTGCCTATCAGGTTGCTCTTGCTAGAAGAGTACAGTGACTGATGATTCTCTAACCAACAGCCAGTGAAAAGTACTGTCCTTCTCAAGAGTTCTTGAAACAGAATCTCCTTGCACCTCACACTCTTTGATCTCTGTCTTCTTGTGTGAGCCTCTGAATAGGTCTGGAAACTCTGGCAATGAGATGAGTGACATGACTTCTGTCTAAAGCCAATTAGTTTGGACAAATGTTTCCTGTATGATATGCTAGGCCCTAAATGAGCATTTACTCTTGTCTCTAACGAAACAGGAACCAAAGGTCAGCTTCTCTCCACTATGAGATTTCCTCGTGACTGAGGAATTGCCAGTGGTATCAGGTGGCTTATGCTTCCAGCAGCCTGTCTTTGCACCCTGTGCAGCCTCACTGAGCTGTGCTGGAAAATGAGCTGGAGGCAGATCCTGTAGATACATCATTTTAATGAGCCCCAAACAGCCCTAACACTTCTCATTTGTTTTTATGTCATCATCACTGAACCAGGGAAGTGAGAACTACCACAGGAATTCCCTCTGTAGCAGAGTTAACACTGAGAATATAAAGCCTTGCATTTTTTTTCCAGTTCTAGCAGTCATTTTCTGTCATTTGGATTCCTACCACACCCCAGTCTGTCTTCTGCTACACTGAAGCTGAGTAACTACTGCAGGGTAATACTTTCTGTGCTAAAAAGAAGCCATGTCCCCAAAAACTGTGTACTGGTGCTTTCAGACAAGCAGTTAATTTTTCATATGCAAATGACTAATGCAACAGCTGACTAGCTTTAATGTGTCTTTTGATGTCTATTTGTCAAGAATGGTTGAGCAAGAACAGTGAAGGGGGCTTTTGCTTTGTATATATAGCCCCTTCGTATTGGTTATTCTGCTTATTTCCTGAATAAGTCTCTTTCTCATAGGCACTTGATAATTTAAGGTAAATTATATCAGTTTCTTTCAGAGATCATAATCTATTCAATCATGTTCCTTCCAATTGATAAGGAAATCTCATTATACCATTTCTATAATGCTCAAAAGTGGTGCTCCCATTCCTATGCCATTTTACGTTAGCTGTGACAGGCTAGCAAAATGTTCCACCTTCATCACTCTCCCCTTTCCTTTCCATTACTGGAATAAATCCCTTCTCCCCATAGTTAGGCTTTTGCAACCTTTACGGAATATGAAATACAGAGAAATATGTCTGTGATGCAAATAATTTCCATCTTGTTTATCTCCCACTGTTCACACCAAGAGTTGGCCCTTGGGGGCCATAAAAACCAGCACCTGCAGGTCCCCGCTGCTTTTGAGAATAACAGAACATCAAGACTGCTCTGAATTTCCTTCTGGTTTTGTTTTTTTTTTTAAAGTGTGTTTCTGAATTTTCTTCCTGTGAAAATCTCTTTCAGGAAATGTCAGCAGGTGGCTAGGGCAGAAAGTTTACTTCTGTTTCTTTCCATTTTTTTCACATGGCAGATTATTTTTAGGCACATGGAGTAAGGCCTAAATGTTTAGGGGTTTTGCAGAGCAGTTTGCACCCCCACTGTGAATGCTGCAAGCAAGACTGCTGTTGAAGATGTTGGGTTCATTGCTTGCTCCCTGCTGGCTGCCTGCCCCTGGTACTGTGCTGCTGACTGGGTCTGTGGTCACCGGGGTCTGGAGAAATAGCTCTAGGAAAAGAGTAGGGTAAGAAGCAGAACAGCTGGAATGACAGACATTCCAGAGTGACAGGATGTAAAGTTTTCCCCCCATTAGGACAGTCAAGTAATAGGAGTATCCAGAGAAGTTTGGAGGCTCCAACCTACCACCACCATAGGTTTTCAAGTGGGTGAAGACCTGAGCACCTTGATCTCACAGACAACCTGGCTCTGAGCAAGATGCTGGGCTTGAGACCTCCAGCTGTTCCCTCCAGCCTGGACTGCTCTGAAACTCGGTATTTCTTTTGCATTTAAAACCTGGCTAATAAGCTTTCTGTATTCAAATATTAAAACACTTCACCTTGTTCTCGCCATATTCCTTAGTTGTGGAAGGTGGATAAGAGCATCTTTATCATCAGCAAATTCTTTAGATGATCAGTCCACACTCAGTAAACAATATTGCTTTGACTGGTTTTTTGTGCAAAGACCTATTTTAGGTCATGCAAGGTCTTAAATGGCCAGGTGAAAGTGTTAAAAGCTACGAGATTGCACATAACTCCGAGTCATCTGGAACCTTGCAGCACTCAAATCCCAAATTTACACCGCAGTTTTCATTTGAGAAACATTTCAAGGTTCCCAGCCTGTGTTACAGACTGTTACACAAACACTCAAGGCCTAAAGATTTCCAGAGTGATTTAAAACTTGTTTCTTGATGTTTTTCTTGAGACCATTCCACTTTGAGATGTGCTAAACTTTAAAGCACCATCCTGTTAACCTTGCCCAGTTTGTCAGGTCTGCTTCTACAAAATGGCATGATGTGGTAGGGAGGAAGAGTTACTTTTCTTATGAACAAGGGTAAAAACATTAAAAGACTGATATTGAAATATTTTCATGTGATCAGTTTTAAAATTAAGGAAAGGCTTCCTGCCAGAGCTTAAATCTGAATCTTTGCAGGGCTTGGGGTAATTGCTGAATTCTCTAGCTGTTTTCAGTGCACCTTGCTGAGTGACAGATGAAACCCTGAACGCCTTGGCAAGTCTTGTATGCAGCTTTGCATATCTTTGAGTGGATTTCTGTGCTCCTCAGCTGCATGTAGACCTCAGTTCATATTCAAACAGAGGGACTATTTCCTCTTCATTAGCTTATGCTTTCAGTTTTGATTGTTGACAGGTATGGAATTGCATTCATAACTGGCTCATAGAAATTCCTGTTGAAAATAATGGTGGGATAGTCATTTAAGACACTACATAGTCCTCTTATTTCTAAGTAATTTTAATAGCTCCAAATCAAGTTACCCACAGTGCTGTTCGCTGACCTTTATTGAATTGTTGCCTGCTGGTGGCCAGGCTAAGTTGATTACGTGTCTGGAGATTGCCACTTCCCTTGCAGGCATTTTATCAAGGCAAAGCTCTGCCAAGGGTTCAGGAGTAGCCATGTGCTATTTCTCACACAGGGTCATCATCTCTCTCTCCTCTTGTCCTGTTTGTTGGTGCTCCTGGTGGGACACCTTTGCTGGCAGCCAGCATGGCAGCATCAGGTGCTTGCCTGGTCAGGGAGCAGCACAGAGGCTGAAGGAGCAAGTCTAGCATGAGTGTTCTTGCCCAGGATGGTCTTGGCTTAGCTGGTACTGAGAAACTCACTGAGCAGGGCTTGGACAAGCCCCACAGCAGAGCTTGGGCAGGGTTTCCAGGAGTCACAAATATGTACAGGAGCTGTGTGCTTATGTAAAACCCTGCACTGCTGTGTTTTCTGTGAGATCCCCACCTTGGGTAGCTCTACTGCTGCTGCCTTGGGTTTGTCTGAAAGGGCTGTGGTCTCACCTCCAGTTGTATTGCCCAATTCATCCCAGAAATGTGAAAAAAAATGTGTGGGTAGAAATAGCATCAAAGTGATGTATCTTACTTGATCAAACACAGCTCAAGTGATCTAAATAGGCTGTTTAATTTGCATATCAGGTTGCTCTTGCTAGAAGAGTACAGCCTGTTTCCATATGCCTGTTTTGTGTTGTAAGATCAACAAAGCACAGTGGTTGCCTGATGCCAATGCAAGCGTTTGTCAGTAATTTCTTTTGTTTGTCTTTCACTAGTCAATATCCAAAAGACACAAGTCAAGCCACAATGATTTTTTGTTAACAACAGGAAAACAAAGATATATGATGCTACCTAAAAAATACTTCATAATGTAAACAAGAAGTGTTGTAACTTGTAGAAAATAATAAAACTGCCATTTTGGCTGCTTTCTCTTTAGTCCTGGTCAGTTTTCTAAATGTCACCTGCTGTACCAGGGCACCTTGGAAAGACATCTACATTGCTACCCTGCTTGTGAAGTGCAGCACTTCAGGCAGTGTTGCTGAGTGTGTATATCTACCACTTTTATTCACCTAACTTGCACTTTAATTTCTTTCTGCCCTTCATTTAGTTTTGTTCCACTGGTACAGTAGAATAGTTTATCCCTATTACATTATTGGTGGTTAGTAATTTCAGAACCATGTAACAAAACCAGTCTTTAGTGGAAGGGAATCGTAGACAGATGAGATAACGCTGCTCGTCATTCTGAATTCTCAGCCTTGTCCTGAATCATCAGCATTTTTGCAGACCATTCTTGTTTTTAAAAATCCAAATAATACAAAGGAAGGCAGTTTCAGGATAAGGAATATATTGTCTGTACTTCTAAAATTAATATTAGAAGTTAATACAGTTGCATTTTAAACTTTTTATGTGTTAGTATCATGTGTCCTTGCTCTGAGGAAAGATGCTGTGAGGGTTAAAATTAAGAAAATTAGAAATACACTGTTACATTGGAATAAGTATCTTGTCATCTTCATTTTACAATTTTCTCTTCCTAATTTAAACTTCTGGCCTCTAATCTATTTATAAGGATTTGGGACTCTAAAAACCAGGAAAATCAATGGAACAATGAATTCTTAGCACCAAAGAACAATTACATATTGATATGAAACTTAAAGGAGGGAAGAACCTGCAGACTTGCAGAAATTGCTGGCAGAATTTTGCACTACCACACAATGTATACTTCTATTTCAAGCTAGTAAACCACACATTAAAGTCTAACACTTAACAAGTTCCCAAGGATACATTCTGCCAAAGTGCAAAAAAATATCTGAGATGGAGGATCAAGTGACAATAATGAACTAACCAGATGTGAAAATTATATTATCAGCCTGTCACTCAGCCTCTTTGGATCCTTTAATAGTTGCTTCTTTCCTGAACCAACCCTAAATGCATTCAGCGAAAAGCTTTTTCTTGGGCAAGTCTCTCCATTTCTCTTGACTCCTCATTCAAATCTTCTGCTTAACCCTAGTCCTTAAAACTCTTTTGCCTTGTAACACTTTGCAACAGCCTTTGCTTGGTAACCCTTTTACCTCTCCAACGGAATCCATGGCACTATTGCTTAGTTTTGAGCTGGGACTGGGGAGGCTACTGCATTCCTCTCATTTTTCCCTTTAACACTTCATGGGATGACATTTAATCTCTCCATCCTTGTCAGAAACAGGATAGAAAATTTTTAGAGTCTAGATTTATTTTTTTAAAATTATTATTTTTTAAATTTTTTGTGGGGTGAGGGAATTCCTTAAGGCATGATTTGTATCTGAGGAAGTCTTTGCTCAGTAGCTAGTATGACTGCTATGAGTAATTAACAGAGATCCTAGTATTTCCTCTGTCAGAACTCCAAATTATTTTATTGGCATATAGACATATAAATGTATAAAATTTGTTTGACATGAGAAAGCATACCCTGCAGGATGAGGATTGTGTGTTCTAATTTGTTCTCCAATTTTTGTGGATTGTGGAAAATTATTGAAAAACAAGGCTCAAACAATTGCATAGTGTGTTTTGAATTTTTTGTATTTTCAAAAGTGCTTTGCAAAGACATGAACTTAAATACTTGCAGTACAGCATGAAGATCAATATGTGCATTATGATCACTCCAAAATAACATGAGATGTAGATAATGCTTCTATTAAAACATGATTTATTAAAATATTTTTGCCATAAATGCTCTTGTTCTGTTTGGGGAATGAACAACATGACCTCCTTTCTTTGCTTTTGAGATCCCACTCCCCTTTCTTTTTTTTAATCCTTTGCAAAGCACTCAACTGATGTCCTGGACACTGGCAAATCACCCTTGCCAGACAGTGATTACTTAGAGAACTCATAAAATATTTGCCAAGAATACATTTTAATGTTTCAGCAATGATCCGATTTGTCTAAAATTCGTATTACTTCTACATGATTGCATGTTATAGGAGGATGCTCACCATTGACTCAGCCTTGAGTCAATTCTGCCAGTGGGAATGGGTAAATATTTGTTACTGTCCATATGAAATGGTTTCTGAGACTTGAGCTTATGTCTAAATTATTCTGTAGTTTGGTAAGATTTGGTGTATGATTTTGGTTCACAGATACCTTTAGATTGAACCAAAAAGGCAAATGTCTCTCAGGGATATGACAAAAAAAAGCCTTAATTAAAGTAATAACAACAGAATACTGAGGGTTTTATAGGTATGAAACTTGCACAATTCAATGGTAAATGATTGTGTCCAGAAAATTAAAAGAAAGCAATGCTTTGCAAAATGTACCATTTGGGGGACCTGTGAACTATAAAAGATGATGTGGTGACATGGAACATTGTGTGTTTGCTGTTTGACTCCAAGTTATATTTTGAAGAAGTTACTTGGCTGTGTATCCAGTAAGTCCATTGTTACTTGCCATTAAATAGGTCATGGAATGCTACACTCTAAAGTGTTCCTTAGCTCTGCAGAGTATCACTCAGTTCAGTCAGTCAGGATGGAGAATCAGACCAAAGAAAACAGACACCCATCAAGCCAGTTTCTTTTGTTTTCTGTCTGGCAAGGTGCCATATCAGAATTTCCAGAGAGAGGTTCAAAAATTGTAATTGGGTAGTCATGCAGACAATACGTATATGTTTCAAAAATGCAAAGGATGAAATATTTTTTGAGTGAAATAATCTCATTGATTTTCTTAGAAAAAATCCAGCACAGGCCTGGCAGAAACAGCTAAGAGATGCTTGTAAAATTAGATGCTTCAACTTGTAATTGTCAAAAATTTCCTTTACTCTAATCCCAGGTCCTCAAAGTGATTCTTTATTCTGTTCCCACAGGTGTGCATCTGCCTAATCTGAGAGAACTGAAGTTGAACAATAGCTTGCTTACATCTGTGAGGTAAGAAATGAATGAGTCTATGAAATAAATATAAAGCCCTGCATTTTATTTAAGTGATAAAATCTTCATTTGTGCTGCTTTCATTCCTTCCATTTCTTCCTGCTATGATAATGGATTAGGTCATGAATAAATGTTCCACTACCACAGAAGCTTAAGGACAGGAGCTGATCTGGAGTAAAGCTGTGTAGCTGCAACGGTGCCAATGAATTAGCCCTAATTTGCCACCAGGGAAGTTCCTGCTATGCTGAAGTCCATGGAAATTTGTTGCACATTTGAAAGGAGCTAAAAATTCCCCACTTACCTATGTCTAGGTGCCTGGATTTCAGTGTTTCAGCCTTTGGGCTTTAATCTGCACAGTAGCCTGTTCTGTACAGGTCAGACCAGTTCCTCAGCTGATGAAAATCACTTTGGCTTTACTGAAGTAAATGGAATCAGGTTTATGAGAGCTGCTGTGAAGCCTGCATGTCCCTAGCTTGCTGAGCTGCATGAAAACATCACGTTTTCTCCCAGACAGCTGGGAGGAGTTGGAAAGGTAGAAGTGAAAACCATCACAATGAGGAGGCAGAGATGTCTTCTCTCTCCTGTGCTGGTATCTGTATTACCCTTGCTAATTAATGCAAAGTGGAAAAATACAGTTGATGTCAGAAAAGGGCTGTTTTAAAGGCCTGTTTTAAACAGGTCTGCTGTCTGGCTTTGTATGGCCATCTGCTAAACTCATGGGGCAAAAAGTAGTGGGCTTGCCAGTTCTTGTTAAGAGAACATGTCATTAGAAATGGCAATAAATCCTTCTTGGTCTCTCTAAAGTATCTAATGAACTTCAGTTGCTACACTTTGATTTTATTTTCCCTTGTTCTGGTGATGAGATGAAGTATTTTCAGTCTAAATTTTGTTTTTCTCACCTTCTAATCCATAACATGTAAAAGTGGTGATTCTACATTGCTGCAATTATTTTAATAGCAGCTGACCATTGTAGCAATGGAGGAGTAAGTAGTAGGTGAAAAAAATATTAATTTTGACAATATTAAGAGATATTTGCCAATATTAAGAGATACTATATTAAAAAGAAAAATATAAAAAGTGGTTTTTAGTTTGATCAAAACTCCATATTCTCTAAAAAAGTGTCAACAGAAAGCCTTTTGATCTGTTCTGTTGGTACTGAATATAAGAATGCAGTTCAGGAAAACTAAACTGCTTGACTCAGGGTTTTAGCAGGATTTTGCACCTCTGTATTCTGAAACTAATTTCTGTCATGTTAAGTTCTAGCAAACGATTTTCTTTGACCTGACACTCTTGTGGACCTTGATGCAGGGAATGCTTGGTCTCAGGTTGAGTTTTGATTTGATCTACTCTAATGTAAATATGTTTGGGCTTGTATATCAGGTCTAATATTGTGATGATTCCCAGGCACTCCAGCCCCAGGAGATGCTACCTGCTCCTCCTTCTGTGTGCCAGTTAAATGCAATTGTCAGGGAATAGGTAAAGGAAGAAGACTTTGTTAGCTCTCCCAGATATGGACTTAGTCTGTACAGTTGCAGCAGTAGCTTTCCTTTATTAATTCCCATCTTTGACAATCTGTCATTGATAAACACAGATCATTTAAGGGCAAATCCCATGCAAACACAGCCTTGTACTTGAACTTTATTTTTTTGATGTCTGCATCATGTCAATTTAATGCCCATTAGAGCAACATTGCTGCCACAGCAGTAGTGATGCCTGCTATACCTAATGTAACATAGCTGCTCCCATTCTAGAGGCTGCTGCCATTTACTCCAAAATTCAGAATCTTATTTCTGAATTAATCTTGTTGATATTTGAATTCTGTCAAAAAAGTGATTATTTTGTTTTATTCAACCAAACCCTTGCAAACGAGGCTTTTGAGGATGACAGAAAAAAATGTTCTTCATTCTTACTGAAAGTAATTGTCACAGATTTTGCCAGCCATAAGGCCAGAATCATTGTGGTTGTAATTTGAAAATAGGCAGCAGACAGTATGAAACATCTTGTAAGGACTGACTGGAAGATTGATTTTATTTACTGAAAAGAAGGCAGGGATAGAAAAGCAGAAAAAAAGGTAGAGGGTGTTTTGTCTATGTTTGGGATGTTGAAAGCAGACATTCTTTTCATTCTATTTTATGTTATAAAAACATATTCTGGTGAATCATTATGAAGAAAAGGCTGTCAGTGTGCATGCATGAGTGGGTAATAAGATGGGAGATTTTGTATTTTGTCACTTTATTTTTGTTTCATCTTGTCTTGCAGAGTAGGATTACCTAATTATTTTGGGGTAAAATGGAATTAAAATGTTTGTTTTTTTGGTTTTTTTTTTCATTTTGAAAATGGAAGAAGAATTGACTTGGTAGATATCAAAATGCAGGTTTATCATCCTGACTTTAGTTCCTGGGTTTTTGTAAGCCATTTATTCCTGTCAAACTCACATAGGAACTTAAGTTGTGAGGATACTGAGGTGTGTGCATTGCCATGCACTGTTCAATGGAAATCAAAGGAGTCATGTTCTGGCAGTGAGGAATCAAGGTGTTCTTGGATTACAGTTTTCTATGGCTGGCTAGGTCAGTGAGTTTGGATATTGGCTTCTCCTGATAGTTTCTCAAGAAGTTGTGATTCCTTTGATGAGGAATGTGTTTGAGCTCGTAAATTCAAGGCCCTTCCCCAGTCCTCCTAAAGTTTGCATTACTTTTGAATACTTGAAACTTTGAAAGGACACCATTATCAACTATTTAATTTAATTCAAAAGGAAAATATATCCAAGATTATTTGCAGTGATCGATCTTGGCAGTTGAAAGGGAATTTCTTTCTTGGCTGTTCCTGGGTTTTGGTTTTCTACTGGCCCTTTGCTAAAGGGAACACCTCTGGAAAATACAATATATTGTGAAAAGAAAATTGTTCATATTGTTGTTAATTTTCTAAATCACAATAATTTCATTATGTTCTTGTTTGGTGACCTTCACCCACTTGCTAGCAACTGAGAAATTTTAGATCTATGAACTGATAATTGAAGATGAAAAGTCAAGCCTATTCTGAAGAGTGCCTGCTAAAATCTGCCTTTTTGTTGTTGTTATTGTTTTGTTGGGGTTTTTTTGTTTGTTTTTTTGTGATGGCTATGGTCCTTATTTTTGAAATGCTTCCAGTAAAAGAACTATATTCCAAGGCTAATGAATTACTACTTCTGCTTTGGCGTGTAGCCTGTGTATTTTTTTATCAGATTGCTTTTATTCTCAATTCAGGGATGAATGAAAAGATCTGTTTAAAAATGTTTAGATAGCTATCTCTATGAAAGGGCTTTTAAATCAGAGAAGGGAATCTTGGGTCCTGGTTCCCATAAGTTTCCAGAAGAAGCTGTTTCAGCAGCTGAAGTTCATTTCCTCCCATTCACCACTACATATTGTAGCCAGCAGAAGAGTGATCTGCTCTCAGGGCCTCTCAAGCAACTCCTTCAAAAAAGAGAGGCTGTCATATTTTAAGTGAGATGAAATGCAGAGACTGCAAAGTGTGGGGACAAAAGTGAGTATGGAGGATACAGGGAAAGGAAAGCAGATTTTCTTCATCCAGATTGAGTTAATATTTCATTGCTGGAGTTCTCTAATTGGTCTTGCACTACTGCAGAAGCCTCTCCCAGAACAAGAGAGAAGTAATCCTGGTCTGTTTCAGTCAGTAAAATCATCAAGAGTTCAAATTAGCAAGGTGCAGAGTACATTCAAAATCAACAATTCTTATGCTTTTATGAGCCTTAGGTTTTTGTTTTGTTTTTTTTTAGCACCAGCCCCCAGAGACAGGACTAGCAACACAGGAGTCCCTGTATTCACGTTTTGAAATGTTTTGAGCCTGCTTGGCTGTGAAAAAAACAACTGTAAATATGAGCCAAGTGATTTGAGTAAAGATTTTGCTGATCATTTTATGGCTTTAAGATATCAGAGCCAAACTAATTCTTTCTTAATTTGGGGTAACAGCTCTAAAGTAATGTTTAAAGTATTTTTTGAGACTTGAATCAGGATCTTTAGGTATTTTAACTTAGCAATAAACCTCCTTATTACCCGAAAAGAGTTTAAGGAAATATCTTGTGTTTTTAAAGCCACAAGAAGTTTGCCTTCAGTGGCATTGCTTACAAACTGAAAATTAAACATTGGTCCAGTTGCTTTTCTGGATCTGGATCAAGTTACACCATCTTGTATAAGACTAAGCCATGACACTGATCATCCCAAAATTTGATGTACTGATAGTGTGTCTAGGCACCAACTATTTTCTGGATAGTTTTCCCTCAAAAAGGAGGAACTAGGGGCATCATTCTGCTAAATTTGCTTTTTTTCTTCATCATTTTTACTTATTCCCTTCCTGTCACTTTTTTCTTTTTCCCCCTCCACTTTTTTCCCCTCCTTTTTCTTCTGCTTGTCATTTCCAGTCTTTTGCACTTACTGGATTACCATATTTGATGTATAGTAACGTGCATAGGTGTCACATGTAAAAGTTTTGTACAACAAGGATCAGCATTACTGTTATGATATTTAAAATCCCCAAATGTTTTCTAAAATCAATTCAGTTTGCATTACTGTTTAATATATTTTTGTTACAGCAGTTTCTTACTATGTTTTGCGAGGAATCAGGGTGCTCTTGCTCTAGGTTGTTCTTACACATGCAGACAGAGAACCACTGCTCTGATTTGGTTGGGGTGAATCCCTTCATGCCCTTATTTCAGCACCCAGAGCATTACTGTTTACTTTCATATTCACATTTCAGGATGGGAAAGCATTTAATTTCAAATGCAAGCTAGTTTCGGTAGGAAGTGCTCCTGTTAATTCTTTTGTGTAGCTGGACTGAAAGTCCTTCAGCAGTTAAAACTGCTATGAAGTCTATCTTAAGAACATGTTCTGTGAGGACTTTGAGTGCTTTCCAGGAGCCAGGAAAGCATTTAAATTGAATCTTAATCTCTATTAATGAGTCTTCTCTATATTTTGTTGCCTGCAGATCCCTGGGAGTATTACAGACCT